AAGTCGTTGGAGGGGTCGAACGGGTGGTCGCCTATGGTAGCAGGGTGTTGTCGCCGGCAGAGCAGCGCTACTGCGTCACCCGTCGTGAACTACTTGCCATTGTCTTTTTTGTACAACAATTCAGGCCATATCTCTATGGTCGTCATTTCACGGTCCGGACGGACCACGCGGCGCTCCAGTATTCATTACGGGTTGCCCAGCCCTCGGGCCAATTGTCGCGGTGGTTGGAAGTCCTCCAGGACTATCAGTTCACGACTACGTACCGTAAAGGGTTGCGACACACGAATGCCGATGCCCTGTCGCGGTTGTTGCCTTGTCACAAATGTGCGTGCTTATCGGGATCGGCGCGCTGTAAACCTCCGGTTACGGAAGGTAGGGAGGCGTTGGTTGCGACCGCGAGCACACCAATTGGGGATGGCCCAGCTACCCCAGGGGGTCAGGACTCACTGCTCTCACTGTCGTTGATTGAGTGGGGCCGTCTCCAAATGGCGGACAGCTCCCTGCTGGCATTGCGCCGAAAGACGGAGGGTTCCGAAGGTAACCACGACCGAACTGGCTCCTACGAGCTTAAGCAAGGCCTGTTGATGAGATGGGACAGTTTGTCCCAGCGGCATGCGATTGTGGTGCCTTCTGCTGTGAGGGGGAAGGTTGTCTTGGCCGCACACGAACGCCTCTTGCATTTGGGAGTTAACAAAACGCTTGCCCTGCTTCAGCGTGACTATTATTGGCCGGGAATGGGGGGTGACGTGGTGAATATTCTGAAGGGTTGTGTTGAGTGCGCCAGACGGAAACCACCGCCCGTGGCAGCTAATCCACCGCTGCAATCTATTCAGGTCTCGCGCACTAACGAGCTCGTTGCACTCGATATTCTGGGGCCCTTTCCGGTCACGCCTAGGGGTAATAAGTACCTGTTGGTGGGGGTCGAATATTTTACCCGGTGGCCTATGGCGTGGCCACTCGCCAACCAGTCGGCGGCGGCTGTGACGGACGCCTTTGTCCAGGGCTACGTCCTGGACAAGGGGGCTCCCGAACGCTTGCTGACTGACCAAGGGAAAAATTTTTCGAGTAAATTACTGCAAGAGGTGTGCGACCTGTTGGGTACCAAGAAGGTGCGTACCTCCCCGTACCACCCGCAGACGGACGGGATGGTGGAGAGGCTTAACAGGACATTGACCTCTATGCTGTGCCAGCAGGTGTGTGAGTCACATGTTGATTGGGACCTGCAGGTCCCTGGGGTCCTTGCCGCGTATAGAATGGCCCCCCATGCAGCAACGGGATTTTCCCCGTTTTATCTAATGTACGGTCGGGAAGCCGACCCGCCCATGGAAACGCAGCTGGGTCTGCCCGCACCACGAACTAATTCGAAATTGGCAGAGCATATTAGGCAAGGGAGGCCGCACGGCTTAATTCGCGGGCTCGCCAAATTGCGAACGAGCGGTTGCGGGCACGGAAGGTGTCCGTGCACAATTGGGAACCAGGTGACAGGGCCTGGCTGCATTGCCCTCAGGCACCTTTGGCCACGTCGCCTAAATTGTTGAAGCCGTGGCGGGGACCCGTGGAGGTCGTGCGGGTTGCACGCCCCCAGTGCGTTCAGATAAAATGGGGAAAACGCCGTTGGTACGTCCACCCCTCCCGACTGAAACCGTTCTCGCCTCCGTATGGCCTCCCCTTGTGTCGTGAGGGCCGAGCATGTGACGTGACCGACGACCCTGAGGGGGAATTGTCCTTGCCTGCTCCTCACATGTCTCCGCCTGATCCGCTCCCAGGTGTCTCGGAACTGACAGCTGCCGACCACCGGCGGCCGGATCTTCACGGCGGGGCCGGTCCTTCCAGGCCCGATCCGTGCCGTCTAGAGCTGCCGGAGACACCGGACGGTCGCCAACGTCCCGTTCCATACGACGGACCGGCCAGACGGACTCGCGCTAGGTCGCGCTACTTTGTGTAACCTACCACGTGCGGAGTCGAGGCAGCCGGAGCGCCTCGGCACTGCGTGGGTCACAGTGACACTTGGCGCGTTCGTTTTACGGTGTTCGCTTTTATTGTGTTGTTCGTCGGGCTGTATATTGCTTCGTATTTAAGGTTGTGTTATGTTGTTGTTGTTGTGTTACGGGGCACACTGGGATGGGGAGTTCTTTATTACTGCGTTGACGTTAGGTTGTGTTGTTGGTTAACAGCCGGGCCGGCTGCAAGCTATGTGGGAGGGGGTGATGTAGAGGTGATACGCGCTGGGATTAGGGATCGTATGCCAGCGCGTAATGATTGGCCGTGTAGGTGGTGACGCGCGCTGATGGTGGAGGATCAGGGGTCAGCGCGGGGTCGTAGGTTACGGGGTACCGATTGGCTGTGTGCCGGTGACGCGCTGAGAGGGAGTGATCAGGTGGCAGCGCAGTGTGATTGGTGGAGTAATGTTAACACGCGCTGGGGAAAGCGGATCGTAGAGAGAGTGCGTCGTGATTGGTTCATTAAGGAACGACGCTCACGTCGACGTCCGCATCAGCTCCGTCTCTCGTGAGCAGGGGCTATAAAAGGGGATGCACACAGGCGTAAGGGCAGTGTGTAACCAGCGACGAATGAAGACGGGGATGAAGACCTAGAGCCCTGCGGTACCTAGCCCCGCTGTCCTAAGGGGACCGGGACTCTGTGTAACCCAGAGGCGAGTGTAGTGTGTGTAGCCTTAGGCATAAGGTCTACACGAGCCGAATGCATTGTGTGTAGCCAGGGCATAGGGTCTACACGAGTCGAGTGTATTGTGTAGCCAGAGGCATAGGGCTTACACGAGTCGAGTATATTGTGTGTAGCCAGAGGCATAGGGTCTACACGAGTCAAGTGTATCGGGTGTAGCCAGAGGCCTAGAGTTTACACGAGATTAGTGGAGTGTGTCGTCGAAAGAAGGAAGACCACACGTTGTATTGTGACACGTAAAGATTTAATAAAAGTGTGTTACCCGTCAAGAAGTTCCTGCCGTCAATTCCCATACTTCACATGGATTAACAGGCACATAGACTCACACACACGCATTGACTTACACACACACATCGAGTGACACACACACATGTATGGACTTACACACACATGTGGACTAACACACACAGCGATTGATACGCACACAAATGGACTGACACACACGCACTTGTACGTACACACACACATGGGGCGTTGTCCGTTTGATAAAGGCAGACACACACATGGACTTAGACATAGACATGGACCCACACACGTAGAAACCCATCAACTTACACGCACACAAACACATATGGACTCACACACACAGACATCGACTTTAGGGACACACGTAGTTTCTGCACACGAACATTATAATTGTAATATTAGGCAACTTATTAGTTTCATAATAGTAAACGAAGCAGAGTTGTTACGTGCACACAAACATTATCATTGTAATATTTGTAAACTTATTTGTTTAATAATAGTAAACAATAAACCTCAGTTCTTAGCGAAAGATGCAATAAAATTATACTTTACATTGGCGTGGTGACGCCTCGTCCCGTGCAGAGCCCGCGGCCTCGGCTAGATTGCCAAGCCGGAGGAGGTGAGACATTGCCAGGCTGCTGGCTGGGCCGCTACCCCCCCCCCCCCCACCATCCCCCCGCCCGAGGCAGAATAATACCAAGTAAGCGTTGTCATAATATTAAATTAATATGTAAGGGCTTTATAGCAGTAACTGCACGCATTGGGGTGGTGGGGGGGGGGAAGGGGACATCACACTGTGAAGAGAAACCGGCAGCGTGATGTGTATATTTATTCCATGTTAAACGCGTGAAATAAAATGTCCCCGTGAGCTGGAGCGAATGCGCAGTACTTGGTAGGGTCCGCCCCCCCCCCCCCCACGCAATTGGCGTCACTTGGTACAGTCGACTGCGCGCAATAAGTAAATCAATAATAGAAACGGCACAAATTTGTTAATTTAAGTACTTTAACGTTTACGGATGGGAACACCGAATAGCCTATTCCCACCACGGGGCTTAGGGCGTGCCGCCCGGCAAATTTTTTTCTACGTGAAGATCACCGTCCGAGAGCCAAATCCCCTGCAAGCTCGAGCGCGCAGAGACTTTTATATATAAGAAGATTCTCCGCAGGGAATGGATTCTTTGCTCCGCTGCAAGTCTCACACTACCACTCTCCCATTGACATATTTCGTTGCTTCCTCTTAGTATCTTTCACTCGACGGTCAATGGTATAGTGTATAGCAGATTGTATAATAATCAACTATTAACATTCCTTCCCTTTATTAATACTACCCCTATCCCCTCCCTTTGATGCTGCTAATCCTGCATAATGCACGGGCATAATATGACTTTGAAACCCCGCCCATTTCCTACGCATTTCACAAGTAGTACTAATCACATTCCTGCATTTCCCCTAAATATGCTAAATTCCTCTTGATATGCAAATTATTTTGTCAAGGCGCACTTCCCCCCTTCCAACCCAGCTTAAATAGACGCTCCAAGCATGGTGTTGTTTCATTCAGACGCTTTCTCCCCGACAGACCTGGTCTTCACCTGAGGACGGCTGCTTGCATTGTGGCCGAAACGTCGTGAGAATTATTTTATGTTTCATTTTTATTATTTTATTATTTCCCTTCTACGTGGCTTTACCGAAAGAACCAACAAGTTGTTTCTTTTTGTTTGCATTTTGACTGCTTGTGATGTATTGCAAACATGCCTTGTATAAAGGTGTCAGTTTTTGTACCAGTTGAAAGGGTAAAAACCTTTTACTATATTTTGCCACTGGTAAAGGAGATGTCTCATAATGTTTTTTGTTGTTTATTGTGAACTTGCGGTCACGGTTCCTATGGTCTGTAATCAGGTATTATGGAGGAAGTGAGGGTTGGTGGATCACACAACAGTTGTGAAACTCCCATCCCATGGGCGTCGAGGATCCATACCCTGGCTTGCCCGGAGAATGTAGTCCAGCAAAATGTTAACCTCGTTTGTTCCCTTTATGGGATAGTGTTGCCCCCTCACGCACGTGAGTTTCTCCAGGTGCTCGGAGAAACAGCGGTGGCGGCGAGCGAGGAGGGCAGCGCCCGCAGTGACCTGGACGCCATCAGACGCGGCATCCAGCTGAAGAAGGGTCAGGACAAGGCCGACCAGGACGCCAAGCGGCAGGCCGCAGGGAATGACGTCGCCGCCATCCTGTCGCGCCGCGTCGCCGTCGAGTACAGAGACTCGGACTCGGACACGTCCAAGTTCGGCGACGGAGACTGGTCCTACTGAGGCGCGCGGCACACACACGCGGGGGGGGGGGGCACGCGTGGGGCAGTCGTCGAGGGTGGTCGAGATTGAACCCACGACCTCCTGTACACCAGGCGAGGCAGTTGAAATTTCCCCAGCCTCCGTGGCTCCCTGAGTCAGGAGTCAAACCCAGGCCCCCTTGTTGCCGTGGAGGTGCGAGCATGCTCATTGCGCTCGTATCGTGTTGTACGTGTGTGTGTGTGTCTGGATGTTGAAATTGTTTCGCACGATACATCGCCAGCCGTGTCTAATCGGAGGTATGGTGGGGACGGAAAACAAACTATACACAACTACACTAAACTATATACACTACACTACACTATATACACTGTACGCTACACTCTACACTATACTATATACACTATACACAACACTATACATTACACTATACACTACACTATATACACTATACGTTACACTATACACAGCACTATGTAAAGTCACGTAGATAGGTTCAAAGAAAGTAACAAAAGACTACGACGTTTCGATCACAACACAAGCGATCGTCTTTTTTCAACAGTTTTAATTAACTTGACTCCTGTGTCGTGGTCAAATCTTGTAATCAAAATTGAGTCTACTTCCTGTTGTCCAATCAACCTCGCGTGGAAGCTACCCAACCTTTATTGAGCACATCAAATTTCAATCATTCTGGGAGTTTCAATTAATACATGTTCTCCTTTTTGAGTGCAAATAAAAGTGTGAGCATTGAAAAACTCATTGAAATTCTTAACTGTTTGCCAGTGTTACGATTTGTTGCCCTTACGCTAAGGGAGAAAAGGGCAGCACAGCGGCCGCTCCGGCGCCATGATGCGCGGCAATTGAAGCGCACCTCTGGGACGTCGTCTCTTCTGGCGACGTGATTCTACCCATACCCCGCATACCTTTCTTAACGGTATATATATATACAGGGACTCATCTACTTACGAAGCTTCTATTTACGAACTTTCAGAGATACGAACAAACCTGTCCGCACGTCATGTAGACCGTTATGGCGTGGAGGAGGCCGTGATGGCATGGAGGAGGCCCGTGATGGCGTGGAGGAAGCCGTGATGGTGTGGAGGAGGCCGTGATGGCGTGGAGGAGGCCGTGATGGTGGGGAGGAGGCCCGTGATGGCGTGGAGGAGGCCGTGATGGTGTGGAGGAAGCCGTGATGGTGTGGAGGAGGCCGTGATGGCGTGGAGGAGGCCGTGATGGTGGGGAGGAGGCTGTGATGGCGTGGAGGAGGCCGTGATGGCGTGGAGGAGGCCGTGATGGCGTGGAGGAGGCCGTGATGGCGTGGAGGAGGCCGTGATGGCGTGGAGGAGGCCATGCTGGTGGGGAGAAGGCCGTGATGGTGTGGAGGAGGCCGTGATGGCGTGGAGGAGGCCGTGATGGTGTGGAGGAGGCCATGCTGGTGGGGAGAAGGCCGTGATGGCGTGGAGGAGGCCGTGATGGCGTGGAGGAGGCCGTGATGGTGGGGAGGAGGCCGTGATGGCGTGGAGGAGGCCGTGATGGTGGGGAGGAGGCCGTGATGGCGTGGAGGAGGCCGTGATGGCGTGGAGGAGGCCGTGATGGTGGGGAGAAGGCCGTGATGGTGTGGAGGAGGCCGTGATGGCGGGGAGGAGGCCGTGATGGTGTGGAGAAGGCCGTGAAGGTGTGGAGGAGGCCGTGATGGCGGGGAGGAGGCCGTGATGGCGGGGAGGAGGCCGTGATGGCGTGGAGAAGGCCGTGAAGGTGTGGAGGAGGCCGTGATGGCGTAGAGGAGGCCGTGATGGCGGGGATATGATGGCGGGGAGGAGGCCGTGATGGTGTGGAGGAGGCCGTGATGGCGTGGAGGAGGCCGTGATAGCATGGCTGAGGCTGTGATACACTCACTCATCTTACACTCACTCACACAACCACTGACCCATTCACTCATCATACACTGATTCACTCATCATACACTAACTCACACTACCACTGACTCACTCACACATCATACACTGGGAGTGTCATGCTGCCAGCTATGGCTGCAAGTTTGGTCGTACGTGCTATGTATATCGTTTATTGTTAAATTTGAATCACAGTTCCTATGATTACTGTTGTTACATTGTTTTTATAGCTTTTTTTTGGTGATTTCGAAAACATATGGTTAAGCCATGTTTCTTGCGGAAGTGCGAAGTTGGCCTGATAACTTAAATCTAAATTGTCTTATGGTTATTGTTTGACTTGCATCACACTGGGATTTTTGCACACAGCATTGTAATACGGTGTCTGGAAGATTTGCTGGTTTATCCAGGATGTTTCTGTTGCGCGTCGTCGCTTTATGTTGTTCTCTGTTCTTATTGTTTGTTGCGGTTGCACCCAACTCAAGAGCTGCATGGCTCACAGGGCTATACCTAATAAATGAAACTTGAAACATGTAAACACCTCATTATTTGGCCGATAACACCTTGAGTCATGGTGTGTCCAGAAGCTGGATGAATAGCCTGAAGCTGTGCTAAAGATATGGTCATAACTGTGTTAGAGTGCACGCTTTCAAACTTGCAGGCATCATTGCCAAGTGCTAGATATGTGACATTTTGAAGAAAATCCGAGGTCACATCATCTGAGCAAAGATCAAGGAAGAAGAATGTAAACATTTGCCCTCAATTTGTCTCAGTCTTTTCAGCAGGAAAAACACAGATCTGTTCAAGAAGTATAAATTACACCGTCTCCCCTTTCTACGTCAACCATGAGAGAAGTTACGATTCCTGGAAAGTCTACCTTCAATTATCTATATAGTTGGGGGGAATGGAAGATTAGATTAACCTATTCTCCTTGGTTCTTTCGGTAAAGTCCCGTAGGTAGAAAAATAAAACCAAAAACAATTCTATTTTTCTACCTACGTGATTTTACCGAAACAACCAAAGAGTATGGATTCCTGCAGTCACGAAAGCTTCAAATCAAGATAGATTATGTGATGCCGCCGCCACGAAGCCGCTCGACGGGCGCCCCATCCCCGACCTCGCCACCACCAAATGATGGAGCCGACCCCCGCGTCCCCCAACCTCACCTCACATGACCACAACCGCACGATTTTCCCTCCCCATAGAGCTCTGAGGGGAGGTCACCTCGCCGACCGGTTTTTATCCGAGAAGCCCTTATCGGGATTAACTTTCACGGTTTCCGGCGACCAGGGAATTGGACGACCTCCCCCGACGCTACTTCGCACCATGGCGCTGCGACCGGCCTTAAGATTGTATGGTCGCGGCGAAGGGCATTCGGCCACCGCGGTTAAAACGCATCTCCCACACACACCCCCACGGGTCGACGAGACAGGCAGAGGAGGGACGGGGTGGCATAGTTTAGCGTGCAAAGCGGGCTCGAGTGCGTAGGTGCCATTGTTGGGGAAATTAAAGGATAAAGCTGGAATTGCAAATAATCAAAGAGGCGACTAGGGCGCATAGTGCGCAATTGATGAGGCAAGTGGTGGAGACATGCAGAGGTTTTGCGCTTAACTTCCACAGCAGGCCGTTGTGATGGATGCCGCTGCATAATGTGCATAACCAAGGCACCATGCATGAGAAAGGGATTAATTAGAATAAATGCCGCAACACGCAGCGCATCTGATTAGCATAGCAAAGGCACCCGGAACCGCAGCACGCGCCCCAACGGGCGCGTGCGCCCATTGTTAAAGAAAAACTGGGAGGGGGCCACCACCACCACAGGCGGAGCAGCATCCCTTTGATGTAGGGACGATAAAAAGGGGGCGAAAAGGAGAGATCTCTCTCTTACTCCAGCATCAGGCCACGAGACGCTCTCCAGCCCAGCGACCCGGACGTCCGTGCGACGCATCGAGGTACGCTGCGAGCACGGGATCAACGGACCGCCGTGGGCACCTAACCGTGAGTAAGAAGGTGAATTTGTATTATAAGCAGATAAATCGGGAATAGGCATAAAGGTATCAGCGTAGGCCAGCCTCGTCGATTCATACTGACTCAACAACAAGTCCCAGGTAGCAGACAATAAATCAATAATAGCTGATTGTGGCCTCGTGTGATCTCGCTGAGAAGTGTGAACACGTGTGGTACTGTGTACACAGTGGTTCGACACGTTGGAGCGCTGCGCGGAGCTGCACGTGTGGGTGCCCGTGTGTTCACTACGTGTATGATGCAGGTGCGCGATCATAACGTGAGTATTCAGCGTTGAGACGAGTCGTGTGTGGGGCTGTGTGTGGGTGGGGGCGTACGTTCGCTACGTGTCGGATACAGGTGCGCATTGGTAACGTGGTTATTCGACATGGAGGCGAGTGCTGTATAGGGTTGTAGACGGGCACACGCTGGCAGCGTGCGAGAGCTGTACGTAGCGGTGTAGAAAGGGGGAGTATGGCGTTTGATTGATGATGCTGTGCGTACGTATGCTCGCAGTGTGGGAGCGCTGCGCGAGGCTGTAGGAGTATGGGCGTCGCGTTCGAATGCCGGCAAAACCCTAGCGGGTATTAGGGTGGTGCGGTAACCCAAACGGAATAGGGGATGCAGGTGGGGGCGACCCCGGGATCCAACGGCCCCCACAATAAACCTTATACTACATTTGAACGTATTGGCGGTACACGGTATACAAAAAGCACTTTATCCGCAATTTTTTTTTATTTTCTTCCGACAATTCACAACCACCGGTCAGAAAAATATTTCGGTGTCAACATGAGTTATCGTGATGTCCAAGCAGTTGAAATGCGAACGTTATTGAGCAGCTGAACACGAAGCTTCACCGCGTGTCGCTGTTTCGCAACCCCCAGCCTGATCACGATTGATGCTGTGTTTTGACTCGCAGCCCGAGACTTGGTCGCACGGTCAGCGTTTAGGTTTAGAGAAATACGAGCAAATGACCTTTCATGAAAAAATACTGCCTACATTTGGAAAATAAACACCTTGTCCTTAAATAGCATTTGCTCGTTCCCGAGAGACTTTTCATTTTTGACCTAATGTATTGTTGCCATCGCAATAACCCCATCCCTAGCGATGTCAGCGCTCTACCTTGGCCTTAAAAAGACACAATATGTATAGCAGACGATGTTTTGTGCAATAGCGGAGAAGGGCCACTGGCCGAAAGGAGGTCGCCCTACACCGCCCTACGGGATCCGTTCTCTTTAGAGACCGCGGCGTCGTTGGCGACTGAGTTCAGATGGTGGCGAACTGCGCGCGACGGTAATCAGCTGGCGCTGTAAATCGCCGCGGTCCCTGCGCTGCCCCCGGCAAACTCGACTGGTTGCGCGGCCTCCACGCGGCCTCGCAGGAGACCTTACAGATATAGCGTGGCGTCGTGGGGGGTTTAGCGCGGTGGACAGCTTCTTAGCGATCTCAGAACGTCCTCACGGCAGTCCGCCACTCGACGGTGGCGTCTCTTAAACAGTTCTCCAGCGTTATCGTGTGCGCTACAATCCTAGCGCTGCCGCTGTGCTAGTATAGGGGTGTTACGGAGGGGCTGTTATACAATGGGATCACACGGGAAAGAAACACAGTGGGCGTGGCTATGTTGGTGCACGGGAAGGTGCTCCCAGCGACGTCCGCATCGGGCAGCCTGGGGGGCTGACTCGGAGCTGGGATCCCCCGGGGCCCCACCCCTCAGCGGGGGTTTTGGTATAAAAGGGGATGAGCCGGAGGGCTCGAGGAGAGATGTTGAAGCTAACCAGTGAAGACAGAAGATCGTCTAGATAGAGCCCTGGACTCCCCAGGATCGCCGCCCTTATCAGGGCCGAACAGGATCGAGCCAGCGGCGTGGTCCCGAGAGCCAGAGCCGGTGCTCTTGTAAGAGCTGGTCTGGGACTCCGGGTACCGTGAGCCCGACTTACCAGTGTCGGGCTAGCTAGCCTCCCCTAGCCCGTTAGTGGAGGACCAAGAGGTAGGCTAGGCGTAGCTAGAGGGTGTATTCCCAGTTAGACGGGTGAGGGGGCCGATACCCCCTCCAGTGTTGTATGTCCAGTGTTGTGCTGTACCCGACACGGAATAAATACGTGTGCCTCCAACCCCGGCGTCCAAGTCTCCTGGAACATTATTACACTAGCTCAGCGCTGTAGCTGTGTTCTAGCGCTCACTCTTCAAGCTCCCAGTGCTAGCTGTGTTCTAGGGCTCACTGTTCAAGCTCAGTACTGTAACTGAGTTCTAGCGCTCACTGTTCAAGCGCTCAGCGCTGTAGCTGTGTTCTAGCGCTCAGGTGGACGACTCAGATGGCTTGGTTTGTCCGGTAAGCACGCGCTGGGCCGGCTTCACTGCCGCAGCTGCGTGGGCCGCACTGACACCGCGGCCTTGCGGCGCTGACGCAGAGAAACCGCCGCGCTGCTGGAGTCTGGTGACAAGTTTTG